AATAAATAAACAATGTCCTAAAATTTTGCACATCATTTTCAAATTTTCTGGAAATGAAGGTCAGAATAAAGACATTACATTGGGTTGTATACTGCTCATGGAAAATGTATTGTAGTTCATCTCAGTTGGATCAAGGTTAACTGGTTTGTTTTGACCCTGGTAGCCTCTGCTGATTTATACCATAACTACACACTCTGGTATTATGCTGTAGGTATTATAGTCATCTGGGTAGTTTATATACAGTATATGTATTATCAAAGCAATAGTAGTAGTGTGCCAGCAATAGCAAACTGCTCGACAGTCTATGAAAAATCCTTCGCTTTTGCTGTAATACGGGAAACAAAATGGTTATTGAAGCCATCAATGAATTGCTCTTGGCGTGTCCAAGTAAATGTCCCACTGATTACCAAGAAGACAGACCCGACACCTTGAGACTATTTTAGTTCTGGTGTATGGCTGCAGAAGTGATTTGCAGAACGGTTCATGCTGAAATGAATGAGTCTTCTAATCAAGCTCAGAGCGAATTAGACCTTGATAATACACCAGAGATAATGAGCGACACATGACTCAGAAAACCATCTATGCAGCGACACCTGCCCAGTGGTGCAAATCCACCAAAATAGACCTTAATGAAATGAGAATGTGTTCTGCCACCATTACAGAACATACCTCTAGTGTGTCAAGGCTACTTATGAAGCGAAGGCTCTGAGATTTTCGGAGATGAGGTGCATTAAGCATTAGAGCAAATGATGGAAAATATGTGTTTTTGATTAGCTGCTTCTTCTGATATATTGATATTGATGTTTACTGTCATAATGAAAGCTGCAAAGAATAAATGGTGGATGATTTGCTTGCTTCTTGCATGGGACATCGTCATAGCACTGGCCAGGGAGTCAGCCGTTTCGAAGGTGTCCCGTTGTCAAACTCACTCGAGTGCACCGAAACGTTCAATCCCTTGAAAATACCCAGACTGCATCGGCTGCTCATTATATTCACTAACCAGAAATGTCTTCGTAAGTCTTTCAAGCGTAATTATATGAAGGCAAAACCTTATTTTTTTTCAGTTTTTAAAAGAGATTTTGTTTGTAATTATCTATCTCTAATATGAAGGGAACAATCCTGCAAGCTTTTTTTAGTAAAGTATTATGCAGGATTCAGGCTTATACAGATTCAGAGTAGTTAGAAAAAGATTAAAAAGACCTCTCTTTATTTTTTATTTATTAATTCATTAATGTATTTTCTGCCATTTTTTTTGTACTGAGATACTAATATTTATATTGTAAGCATGTGGTTCCTTTCTTTATTGCTGTGTATGTATTTAATGTCTGAATGCAATTACTTATATTCAGATGTTTTTTTGGAAAGAAATTTCTTTATGCGTGCAAAGCCTGCATTTATTTGTTCAAATACATTGTAAAAACAGTAATATTGTGAAATATTATTACAATTTACAGTTGTTTTCTCTTTTAATATATTTGACACGTGATGACAAGCTCTCAATTTTCAGCAGCCATTACGTCAGTCTTTAGTGTCTCGTGATCCTTCAAAAATCATTCTAATATGCTGCTCAAGAAACATTTCTTATTATTATCAAAGTCAACTTTTTTGCCATTTTTAGCACATCACCTGGCGATGGATAAAAATGAAACAGTTCCATTCAGGTAAATGAAAATAGAATTGTATTGAAATATAATTTTTTTAACAATATAAAATCAATTTATTGCATCCAATGCTGAATAAAAGTGTAACACTTTTCAGCAAGGATGCAATAAATTGATCCTGACCCCAAACTTTTGAATGGTATAGTGTATGTATATTATCTGCTTTTCTTAGCAAAAAATGCAGCACAAAAAGCTTATGCATTTTATAATGTCACGTCAGATTTCAACAGCTGCTATAAGATGCACAATGATGTGTTTATACAGTGATGTTGACTGCTATGTTAGAATTAGGCCTGTCACGATAACAACTTTTTGTTGTGCAATATATTGCCCCAGAAATAATTGCGATAAGTGATATTATTGTCATTTTAAAGACCATTTTATGCCACTGAATATATAATCATAATGCAACAGTATAATAATGCAAGAAGGCCTACACACTTCCAAATGACAACAAACTTTTAATTTTTAAGAAAATTTAGATCATGGAAATTAAGTATCAAAATATTAGATGCCTTAAAAACTTGAATAAATAGTAAATAAACATTTTCTAACAAAAAGTGCAAAGTAAGAAGTAGAAAAAAAGAAAAATGCACAAAGAACTTGTATGGAGATTTTTCGATCTACCTTGTTTTCTCTGTAAATGAAGGGTGCACACACTATTGCTGAAAAACACAATCACTACTTAGCAGTCAGACGTCCGTATGCACAAAGGCACAGATCCCTAAACAAGATCATATCTGCAGATGAAACTTTTTTTTGTAGAAGCATATTTTAAATTTGAACTAGCACCTCATGACTACACCACGTTATGTACGAAAAGCTGCAAAAGACACAGGCGCAAGTGGAATGCAAAAAACATAGTAACATTAATTTTGAAGTAAATATAATGGGCGATATATTGCGTCACCAAAAATTATTGAGGTCATGTACATATATTGCGCGATAAGTCGATATATTGATTATTGCGACAGGCCTAGTTTTAATGCGCAATGACATAATCATGTCATCAGTGTATAAGTATTTAGCAGATGAAAGCCTTTGTTAATTCTCTGAATATGTGTTATACTATACTGTTATACTAATTCTCATGACAGAGAATTTTGGAAATGACATGCACATACAATTTAGTGGCTCTTTAAAGATTTTTTTATTTTTTATTTCATGTCTTGAAAAATATCTAATTATAGGATGACTATTGAGGCAGTGAATCCCACAGCATAATTAATCACACACACCACTGCAAGCCAATTAGCTCTTTCCGTTGCCCCGCCCCCTCTCTTCTCGTCTACTAAATAGCATTTCAGTACTGGAAGAGGCTGTCACTGCTGACGACTGCGCGGTTATTGTTTAACTGCATTGAACTGACAGATGTGCCAGCAGACTCTCGCTCCCTACCTTATAAAGTAATAACATGGCTAACTGACCTCAACAGGAAGCCAGCAGTGATATGCGGTTGACATTCGACAGCGCTGTGGGTTGAAAAAGCCAGTGAAAATGACCCCGCGTCTCAGGCAGTAGTCCAGTACAAATGACGGAAACAGAGGAATGTGCACTCTGGAAAGCTAATGTATTCTTTTAGCGTGATTCCTAGACATTTAATACCTCTTTGCTTGGTGTGATTGTGTTTCTCTGTGTGGAGATGGTAAGAAAAGAGGCTGGCTGAGCGAAGGGCTTGTACTATGCCGTTCGACAATGATGAATGTGTTTAGGGCAGGAGTACCTGCATGAGAGAAGCAGAGGGTCACATTATGAAACTCTGCATTGTAATTTGCCATGGTGTGCCATAATAAATAAAAGCTCTTGGATTCCCCCACCACCTCTCAGTCTTTAATCTCTCCACCTCCCTTTCTCACACCTTAAGTCTTCGTGCAATTACACTGTGAAAAATTGTCTCCGAATCTATACAGATCTTCGGATCTTTAATTGGAGCATACACCACAACATCTGTCGTATACTGAAATCAATGTGGTTTTTACAGCTACTCATCTCTTGATAACACTGCCAACTGTGATCCTGTAATGGTGAAAACAAAACAGTCCAGTTTAAAAAGCCTTAGTGTAGTCTGTTAAAGCATAGTTAACAGTGGCATGTTCAAATACATTGATGTTCAAACGTTTGGGGTCTGTTTTTGAAAGAAGTCTCTTATGCTCACCAAGGCTACATTTATTTGATCAATAATAAAGGAAAACAAGTAATATTGTGAAATATGACAGTTTCAAGTAACTGTTTTCCATTTTAATGTATTCAAACTTTTTATTTATTCCTGCGTTGGCAAAGCTGAATTTTCAGCATCATTACTCCAGTCTTTAGTGTCACATGATCCTTCAGAAATTATTCTTATATGCTGATTTGCTGCTCAAGGAACATTTATTATTATTATTATTATTAGCAATGTTGAAAACAGTTGTGCTGTTTAATATTTTTTGTGGAAACCGTGATACTTTTTTTCAGGATTCACTGAGAATGTTCAAAAGATCAGCGTTTATTTGGAAGATAAATCTTTTGTATCATAATAAATGTCTTTACTGTCACCTTCGAACAATTTAATGTGTCCTTGTTGATTAAAAAATCAAACCGACCCCAAACTATTGAAGTGGTAATGTTTGTTACATTTCCATTTGTTATTAACACTGGTGCTGGATTGAAGGCACACCACTTTGAGCAAGGAACCAAATCTTTTTATATCTGGCATAATTAATCAGATTCTGCCAAATAAATGTCTCAGATTTCCACTGTGCTCAGTAATAATTTTTTGTTGATGAATTTCAATCCCCAACTCTTGTCTTGTCTTTATTTTCTCAAAATAAATTGTTCCTGCTTCTTTAAGATGATTCATTTATGTTGTTGTATTCCTCATTTTTAAAATCACTTTTCATAAAGGTGTGTGCTTAAAGAAGAAATGTGAATGTAAAGCAGCATTCAAAGAACACAAGCTATTGGTTGGATCCTGGAATCAGTAAAAATTGCAGACAGTTCAAAGTCTTTTATCTGAATTATTCACCAAGTGGAGAAACGACAATAGTGTTTGATCTTTCTCTCCAGAGTCTGAGGTGGGAGTTGTTGTGCAGTTTGCCATGAGAAATATCACACAAGAAATCATCAGAAGCGATGCAAATGCAATGACAGTTTTCCTCCATTTGAAGGGATCATAAGACTCTCTCAGTGGGAGTTGCCCCCCCCTTCCACGAGTATTTTCATATCATGATACGCATGTATATATATGTCTTGTTGTGACACTGTATTTCATGGCTCGGTTTATTTGAAGATGGATACTGAGTGGATTTTAGCCTGCAACTAATCCATCTATTTCTTGTTTGTTTCACAATTTTTGTGCAGGGTCTTCTCGAGGAATGTCAATACCTCTTTCAACCTCAGCTCATTGTTCAGAGGCTCATTGGGATTTCAGTGCTGTATCCTGGTTACTTCATTGACCAGATGATTCCTCTTCATAATAGATCTGTACTCTACAAGTGAGTGACTGTTTTTAAGGTGAATGAGGACTGGGACAACATTTCAGGCTGGGAAATCTCACACTCATCCAGGCCATCCCATACACCCACAACAAATTCTGAAACAAGGACAACCCTATTCTAAATTGCCTAACCCAATTTCTAAATTGCCTAAATGTCAAAATTATTACAATAACAGTTACATCATTACAAAATCTTTATAGTATTGTTAATTTTTGTAATGGTTGTGTTGTTGTCTGCCCTAGCTCCTTCTAAACCTATTATAAACAATGTGAATATTTGTCTGCTAAATTACTTCTGTAACATTATGATAGATAATAATGATGTCCTTTAGCAGACAGTGTTTTGAGTGATGAGAAATGGGCTGCTACTGCTAAAAGGTGCTAGCAGTTTAATGCCTGAATAAGTAAACAAAGACAAAACTACAATATCCTATTTACAGATGAAACTGACCTGCACTTGAAGTCCTGAACAGGTCAGTAATTTTGCCTCTCTGCTCTACCTGGGCGCTTCCACTCCATTCTCGAGTCTCTTGCATTGATTACTCTGATCGAAACCGTTCGGTGGAGGTGCGGAGCACTTGTGAGCAGAATCTTAGCGTTGCCAGTCACGACTACTATTTCCTGATTTATTGGAGATTTGGAAATAATCGCTTTAGTACATTCGGCAGGCAATTAAATATATATATATATATATATACATGGTTTAACAATAGTAACCATTGTCTTTGCATTTATAGTAAAATCATTGTTAATTTTCATAAGTGTTGTGTTGTTGTCTGCCCTAGCTCCCTCTAAACCTATTATAAAATTATGTGATTATTTGTCTGCTAAATTACTACTGCAACCTTACAATAGATAATAATGATGTCCTTTAGCATACAGTGTTTTGAGTGTAATGGGATGTTACTGCTAAGGTGCTAGCAGTTGAATTCATTTTGTGTTTAAATTATAACTATTAATAACCATGTCCTATTTCTGTGAAGAATAACATTTTATTTGCAAAAAATACCAACATAAAAATGCATTAACTTACTTTTTTTTTTTTAATT